AGCTGTGAGCCTGCAGTTTTTGAAAATCACAGCTTATTTTTGTGTTAACAGCTTGTTAAACTGTATTCTTGGGTTGTACACATGATTTTGTTGTCCACAGCCTGATTTGTTGGGAGCCCCTGTGCAGATGTTAGAATAGAGTTCTAATGCTCATGAGATGGGTTGAAGATGTCTGCTGCAATATTCAGATGAGTTTGATGCAGGTTGGAGATGCCCGCAATGACAACTGGTGACAGTATTTATTTTTTAATTTGGAGAGGCAAGTGTTACATAAAAAAGCTTGTACAGGTCCTTCTCAAAAAATTAGCATATTGTGATAAAGTTCATTATTTTCTGTAATGTAATGATAAACATTAAACTTTCATATACTTTATTTTAGATTCATTGCACACCAACCGAAGTAGTTCAAGCCTTTTATTGTTTTAATATTGATGATTTTGGCAAAAAGATAAAGAAAAATCAAAAATCCCTCTCTAAAAAAATTAGCATATTTCATCCGACCAATAAAAGAAAAGTGTTTTTATTACAAAAAACAGTCAACCTTCAAATAATTATGTTCAGTTATGCACTCAATACTCGGTCGAGAATCATTTTGCAGAAATGACTGCTTCAATGCGGCGTGGCATGGAGGCAATGTGCCTGTGTAACATTTGTTATCATTCTTATTTTTATCATGTTAATGGAGGAAGAAAAAGTAGTATCGGCTTCAAGAATCGGCCAAAAAATATCGGCCGCACATATTGGCGTATCGGTTAGACTGATGTTTAAAAAATCGGTATCGGTATCGGCCTTCAAAAACCTGTATCAGTCGATCTCTAGTAGTGACGTCAGATTTTAGGGGTTGTAGGATTTATTTTTCATATTTGGCAAATGTGCCAAACAAATAATTTTAAAACAATGAGCTCAGCATGAGAGGAAGGTGAGGCGGAACTGTGGAGAACATTGTTTTGCACACAAGCTTGGCCTTCACACATGCAATCAAACTGCACCAGAGTTTTTCAACTGAACCGAAACCTATGTTTTTAGGCGGACCAGAATTTGATTATGTGTTCACACCTCCAGGCAAACAAACTAGAGTTAAATTAAAGTGGACTAAACAGGGCTGGTGTGAATACACCCATAGATACTTTTGTGCTTTTTAGATGGATGTGGTGGCCATCTTGTATTAGAATGACTCCAAAAAATAATCAGTTGCACATATACATTAAGTAAATAATTTCAGAATGTTTCACTGGATAGTGAGATATTTTACTAATAAAAACACGTGCATACATTGTTGCTTGTTGAAAGGGCAAAAACAGGCAATAAATAAGGTCAGGAACTACAGTAAGTACTTGTCTGCACTACTCCAGTTATGGTTTTAAACTTTTATTATTTTTATGCTTTTATACACATATTGAGTGCTACACATTCTAACATAATAAAAGACACAGACTGCACCATTAGGTGACAAAATAAAATCTATATCAATAACAATTAAAACAACACCCATCAAAAAAAAAAAAAAAAAAAAACACCCATCAAAATATAAAAAATAACATTCATAGCTTGGCTAAAGAATTTCTCATAACGTCCTGATGCATCTCAGTAATCCAGGTAAAAAATCAAAGGAAAAAAAATTGTATAGGTCCTCTGGACGGGTTCTTCTTTAATGAAACGTTTTCAGCTGTCCCCCTGCTACAGCGCTGCCATTGGCAGTATCACTCCACCCCCTGTTAACAAAAGGTATTAATTAGGGTGAACGATAGCCATGTGATGTGAGTATCAGTCACCTGTGAGCGATAGCCATGTGATGTGAGTATCAGTCACCTGGAGGCAGGACTCAAAAGCCTGAATTTTGCCTGAAACTCTCAGACTGAAGAAGTCTCTTGGAGGAGAGACGAAACGTTTCATTAAAGAAGAACCCGTCCAGAAGACCTATACAATTTTTTTCCTTTAATTTCTCATAACAACTGTAGCTCTTTTATTTATTATTTGTCACATTTATAGCTTCCTTTAGTTTATTCAAAACAAGATCATGACGAAAACAAACAAAAGAAAAGAATAACAAAGCTTCTTATTTGTCTAGATTTCTAGGACACAATAGAAAACGAGCATGTGTGCAATAGACTGAATTAGGTTGCAACATAATATTTAATTAATGCTGAAAACCTTTGCATTTTTAGTCCACACAGATCAACCACAAATAGTTTTTCATTTTTTAATATTTTGGAAAGCCTTTTTCAAAAGTTTTGTTTTTCTCCCCAAAAACTCCTTTTATGTGTGGAAGGAGATGCAAATACAACAGAAAATCTGTTTACAAAAACCTTCAGAGTGTAGACAGGATCTCCATACATATTCATTGTAAAAAAGAAAAACTCTGCCAAAGTCCTTTAATTGTCAAGTTCATTCATGTGAACTCTAAACAAATTCTGGTTCAGGTGAAGTGATGGAGTGTCACCTAATTTAGGATGATCTCCTGTGACTCGGTGAGACAAAATTAGCCTTTGGAGGAACAATGTCTCTGTCCCCTCAGTGACACCGCGGAGACAGAGTGTCTCTGAAAGATTACATTCAAACTCACACACACAGACACACACACCCTCCATAACCTTTTCACAGACTGAAACAATACGCTGTCATGGCAGCTTTAATCCCATCTACAGGCACCAGACTGCACAAACATGATGTAAAGTCAACCGTGGCTTCTTCACTGTAAACACATCCACACAGAACTTATTCAATTTTAAAGAAGGATCTCAAACAGAAGAGCGGGAAAGCTTTTTTCCCTCAAGTCTGCAACTCGTGGATGCAGCCGCCCCCCTCCCGCTGCAGAGTAAGTGAGGTCAACCTGTGTGTTAATAAATGATGGCCTCTGAGTGGAAACCCGGCCACCGCAGGGATTCAGGGTGTGAGAGTGAAAAGTTCAGCAGCTATATGGGAGCAGAAGCACATCAAGCTCTGTGGCTCCAACAGGAAAAGGGCCTTCATTTTTCATGAGCACTTTTCTCTGACTTTACACAAGGACCACGAACTAACCTGACAGATTTTTTGCAACACACACATCAGGTCGTCGCTGGCTTGGAGGGAAAAAAAAGAGTTTCAACGTGCTGGGAGCATCTGACTGTCTGATCAAACTGAATTAAATACGTTAAAAAATTGTAAAAAAAAAAATTATTCCTCATCTTCCTAAACTATAATGACTTAAATTCAGGCAAACAAATCAGAAAAAAATAAAATAAAGACACCCAAATCGCAGCATAAACCATGCTCCAGTTGCAAAGTGAAAAATTAGCAGGATTTGCTAAATGTTCTTTCAACAACCAGGTTACTGCTATTAGCAATACAAGCAGATCCCACTATGACATCACATATATTTTCAGAGGGAGTTCAGTATGTGTTACTGAGATAAAAACTGATGAAATTAAACAGTTATTTACTGTACTTATTACAGTTTTTCACACACTTGAAAGCCATATTGAGGTCAAGGTTGGTGAGGAACTTCCAGAATACTGAGTCCAATTTCAGAGGTGTTCCAGTTGAATTTTCTGACTTGGAACTAGGTTGGGCAAAACCATATCATGTGCAGTTAATCATCAGAAAAGAAGTCAACAATATTTGCCACTTTGCAGTTACTGCAATTAGTGCCACGTGATGATGTATTTGTGTGTACAACTCATGGCCCATAATTTTCATCTATTATTCATCACATTAATCATCATCGGCTAAATGCCACAATTAATCGCAATTATTTTTTTTTTGCCAGTGTCGCCCATAGGGATGTCCTGATTCAATATAAATATTGGATACTGGCCCGATATTAGCCCAAAAAAAAGAGTATCAGATTATATCAGCCTGCATCTAAACTCTGTATAAGCAGTCCAATCCAGAAGTCCACTCCAGGATTTCTATCCAGCAGCACTTGGATCGAGAATAAATAATCCTAAATTGTTATTTTACACTTTAAAAGTATAGTTTGTTTTTGTTGGATTTTTTTTGGTAATTTTTCAAGGTCTTCTATAATAATAACATATTTTGTTTTGCAGAATGTTCTTCTGTTTAAGAGCAAGTCATTGGTTAATAATAAATGTCAGCATTTCTCTTACCTACTGTTGTTGACTGTTAGACTTGAGCCAAATGTTTTAACATTCCATGTTACAAAATAAGCAATAAAGGTTTGTATGATGGGGCGGCACGGTGGCTCAGTTGGTAGAGCTGATGCCTCTCAGCAAGAAGGTCACCGGTTCAAATCCCGGTCCGGGGACCTTTCTGGGTAGAGTTTGCATGTTCTCTCCGGGTACTCCGGCTTCCTCCCACACACCAAAAACATGACTGTTAGGTTAATTGATAACTCTAAATTGTCCCTAGGTGTGAGTGAGAGAGTGAATGGTTGTTTGTCTCGTTTGTCTCTATGTGGCCCTGTGATGGACTTGCGACCTGTCCAGGGTGTACCCTGCCCCTCGCACTGTGACTGCTGGATATGGGCACCAGTGACCCACGCAACCCTGAAAAGGAAGAAGCGTGTACAGAAAATGGATGGATGGATGGATGGGTTTGTATGATTTCTTCTGATATCACATCAGGTTGATATTGGTATTGGCCAATATGCATGGCTGCAATATCGTTATCGCATTGGAAGAGAAAAAGTTGTATTGGGACACCCCTAAATGTCCAACCCTATTTGTAACTTGGACATTCTGACTTCCAGTTCCTTATGTCAAAGATCATTATTCCAACAAATACATATCTGGGCTGTCAACAGACCAGACGATTGAAAAACAGCATATTCTTGTTAGCCCCATCACCAAATACCTCAAGCAAAACTGCCTTCTAACCAGCTTGACAAGAACAGAGGAAGCACAGGAGCTTCAGGTCAACCTGCTACTAAAACTTTATTTCCAGGAAAACTTGTAAAAATGTTTCTGTCTCACATTAACCTCCAGAAACTCAAACACACTCTTATTATAATCCAGTGTCTTCTACAGTCTGACAGCTCATGTGTGTTGGTGTTGGATACTCACCAGGGTGCTGAGGCGACTGCGGGCGTTCGCAGCGTGCTTTAGAGCCAGTTTAATCATAGAAGGCAGTCTAAGAACAACAGCCTCCATGTCCTGCTCCCCCCTCATGCCTCCTGCCAGTTTCCCCAGTCCGTCGATGTAGCTCCTCCAGTGAGGCTGAACCTCCGCCGCTCCCCCCAGGCAGCTCTGCATCACTGCCTGACAGAAGCCTCTGCAGGCTGGTGGGCTCAGCAGGCCCTGGCAGTGTGGGCAGTACCAAAGCCTCAGCAGGGCCCGGCCGCAGTCCCTGCTCGGCCGCAGGTGGTTCGTGGTGTTGACCACCTCTATGCCCAGGTTCAGCGCCTGGAGGAAGACCCGCGTTGCCAGGAGTGAGCGAGACAGACGAGTCATGATGAGTTTAGGGTAGGGGCCAAAGGCTCCCGAGTCCTTCCAGGCTCCTCGCACACACTCCTCGGACACGGGGGATCCCCCGCCCCCCAGCAGGCGACGGTATGTGAGGGGGAAGAGCTTCCCAAAGAAAGCCTCAACCATGTGGTCCACTGAGGAGTCTGAGCCCAGGATGTAGAGCGATATGTCCAGAAAGAGCTGCCCCACAGAACTCTGAGCCCCAGCTAGGAGACCCGGGAACTCCAGTTTCAGAACGGCAAGGGTGGAGTTACGGCCATGACGCAAGACCAGATCGAAGGCCTCTGAAGAGAAACAAGAAAGCAAAACAAGAGCAAAGGTCAGACAACATGAAAATCAAGACATTATTTGTAGATGTGACATTGACAAGTAATAAAGAGCCTTGGTAATCACAAATGTGAGTCAATTCAATAAATCACTTTGATACTAGAATATCTTTCACAAAAATCAAATTAAGGAACCAGACATATAAATAAAATAAGAATAATGCATTCTGACTTAAGACAAAACAAAGCCTCTGAAACAGATTTAAAAATAAATTGGGGTTTTACTTTCATCAACAGACTGAAAAAACATCAAAGGATCATTTTTAAAAGAGTAATAATGTCAGCATATTTGTGGAGTTGGAGAGACTTGGCTGCAGAGATGTTTGTTAGGAAATACAACCCATCGTTCTGAACATGCAGGAAGGGAGGGATGCATGGCTGATGGGAAGAAAGCAGAAATTATCAGTGCAGTTTTGCGGTATGAAGTCGAGCCTTATCAACAAGGTGGCACAAGACGCGTGGCTCTGACCCGATGGCAGAAAGAGAGAGGGCCGAACAACAGAGGGGATTTAAAGCTCCATTACTGAACTTAGCAGGGGAGCTGAGGTTTGAAGAAATGAAGCTTTGGACAGGAGAATGGCTGCTGATGCCAAAATCCCATTTACACAGCAACGAGTTCACTTAATCACGACGCTGAGCATGATGGCCATAACTGCTCTTTGAGGACAGGAGAGTGGGGGGAGGAAACACTGGTTTGGGGGACATTAAAGGGACTTGGTTTTTGTACTACAACAGCTTGCCATTTCATCTTTCTTATTTGATTTTTCCTGCCTGGACAGTTTCATTTCTTTCTTGTCATGCTTCTCTAGGATCAAATGAGGCCTGTCAGCCAACACTCAGGGCTTCAGGCTCTAGGAAAACACTTTTTCTATCCTATACTGTATAAAATCAGAAATAAGCAAGACTTTATTTTAGACAGTAATTGTTTTATTTGAAGCACAAATAAATTGAAAAATTTACAAAGAAAATTGGGATTTGGTGCTCAGTGGCGTATCTTTCTGGCTAGTTTGTTGCTTTTAAACTGTTTTTTTTTATGCACAGCAGTTTAAAGACAGAATTGTTACTACAAAAACTGCAATTTAACTGAAGAACTGAGATGATTCATTTGTTTTTATGAAAGAATATCCCTGGACACTTTTCATATTTTCTTCAGAAGGATTCGATTCGATCGCGAGAGACAGAAAAACTATAGCTCATTTATTAACATCATTCTATAAAATAAAAAAAATTGAATTTTCTAGTAAAAAAACATTTTTTATTCACATGAAACCATGATCATCCAAAACATGTACAATAGGTTGCCTTCAGGCCCAGGCCACCCTTGAAAAAGAGATCTGAGATCTCAATGGGACTTGCCTGGTAAAATAACGGTAAAATAAAAATAAATGAATCATAGAGGTAAAAAAACACCACTGCACTAAACATTGTTTGAAATGGTTAGTAATAGAGATAATAATGAGGTATAAACTACACTTTGGGGGATTTCTTTGGTTTCTGACACTTATGGATGACTAAATATGCCCCCAAACTGTCAAACTGACTCAGGAACATTATTGCTGTTAAAACCAACATAACAGGAGCGTTAAACACTCATGACAGGAAGAAAAACTGTCCGCATTTATTTTAATCATGTGTTGTGTGAGAGTAAATTGAATTTTATATCTCAGTTTATTGTGTTTGGTAGAAAATGAGGCTCCCTCTAAAATATTCTGAATATATTTTAACATAATCCACATAATTCTAACAAAAACACTGACGTACTCATGCTTCACCACTAAATGATAAAAATGTCCATGCGTAGCTGGTCTATCATAGTTTATCATATCTTCCTGTTGGCAGTGATCAGAACAACAGGCAGCTTCAACAGACTCTCATTAGGGGGGATAATTTCATCTTGTGGATACATTCGGCTGCTTTTAGCTCATTGATGTGGTCACCACTAACACTACCTCACATGATCTTATCATAGGAACAGTGAAGAGCACTGAACCTGCTGTGCCCAACAATAGAGATGTTCTGTGTAAAAATCTAAAATCTAGAAGCTAAATGATCAGTCAGCAGCTTGGAGCAGACAGACCCGACATGAACTGAACACAGAAAATTGAAAACAGGGAGTCATACAACAGGACATCTTCCCCAACATGGTGGGCCTATTTTCAGCAGGGTAATAATTCAAAACAAGTGATGATTCCTAAGGTCGACAAGGTGTAGACCAGGGGTGTCAAACTCCAGTCTTCGAGGGCCGCTATCCTGCATGTTTTAGAGGTTTTCCAGCTCCAACACACCTGATTCAGTGATTGAATTAACTCTTCAAATTGGGCAGAAGCCTGTTAATCACCCAGCGATCAAAATCAGGTGTGTTGGAGCAAGAAAAHCTSTWAAACATGCAGGATAGCGGCCCTCGAGGACAGGAGTTTGACACCCCTGGTGTAGACAATGACACATGGCTACAAATAGCTGCATAAAGTTGTGCCTAATTGGCAAACAATGGCAGCTTTGGTGCTGATGGAGAACATAGAAGAATAAAGGAACATGTTTATGATCTGATTTAAAGTTCCCAGGCCCATTCTTTAGGGACTCAGCTCTGAACTGGCCCCAGTGGTACAGAGGGAAACTAGGAGGAGCTGTGTGCTGGTACCAGGTAAAGTCCTCACCACACTGAGGTTCCTTGAAATCTGAGCCTTTCATGCGGCGCTGACGGATATGTTGGCTAGTTTACAGTCATTCTTAAACCATGTCAGGCCAGCCATATACGATAGCCTCATCTATAAAATGGCCAGATTATATAAAATTCCTCTACGCTTTGTTGATGAGCAGCAACTTCGATGTCAAATCACTTTTTCAAATTTGGGGCATGGACCATATTTTGGGCCGCACACTGGCTCAGTTGGTAGAGCTGTTGCCTCTCAGCAAGAAGGTTATCGGTCCAAATCCCGGCCCAGGGACCTTTCTGGGTAGTGTTTGCATGTTCTCTCCATGCATGTGTGGGTTTTCTCCAGGTACTCCTCCCACAGACCAATAACATGACTGTTAGGTTAATTGGTAACTGTAAATTGTCCCTAAGCGAGAGAGTGAATGGTTGTATCTTTTGTTTGTGGCCCTGTGATGGACTGGCAACCTGTCCAGGATGTAGCCCACCCCTCGCAACAGTGACTGCTGGATATGGGCACTAGGGCTGCCACAAACGATTATTTTTATAATCGATTAATCACCAATTATTTTTTCGATTAGTCGACTAATCGGATCATACGTTGATTGAATATAAAACATACAGCTTATCACGCCAGAATGCAGCTGCTATTATATAACCATCGTCAGATTTTAGCTATATGCTAACTAAAAATAGCTGCTGTGAAGGC